TGATTTATCATTGATATTATATTTGGGACAAACCATATATTAACCATATTTATTTTTGAGCCGTGATAGCTCAGTGTCTGGGCGCTCGCCTTTATTTCAATGTACTCGAGCAACCTGAGTTCGATCCCCGGTGCCGGCAACAATGAAGTTTTTAACTTTAAGTGCTGACGTGCTCCGCGGTGAAGGAAATCATTGTGAGGAAACCTGCATATTTTCGAAATAATAACAAAAAAAAACATTTTTCGAGGATATGTGAAGTCCGCCAATCCGCAGTGGGGCCGCGTGGTGGACTATGCCCTGATACCCTCTGTATAGAGGAGGCCTTTGCCCAGCAGTGGCATGTCCCACTGTAATAGGCTGTTACTTTACTTTACTTTACCATATATTTAAGAATAAGTACGTCTTCTAACCAGGAAGACTGGCCAAAGCCCTAGAATTGCCCAGCTAATTAAAATGTTTCGTGGTAAGTAGGTACTCACTACTTAAGTTATGGTACAATACATTAAACCAATTAAAATTATATCGTTGTTACAAATCGATTCAGAACTTGCGTCTCCCACGACTCCCAAAAGTCAAATATTATAGAATATAGGATTAAAACAAATGACCATCAGTGTTCTTCTGTTTGGTATCGGTATTATCTCAACGTTTGATCACGTTGCTAAAAATTAACCATCACTGGTCTTCTATGTGGTGATGCCTTAACCTCTCGCGTCTCTTATTCAGAGAGAAATCAAACATATCGATACCAAGCCGCGTTTACTCATGTCGCCAACATAATATTTACCGGTCAATCACTTTCTATCCGTGTCTCTGCAAACTGTACATTAATGTATTTAAAGAGCCGCTCTTTCGACATATTATTCGTGTTCTAACCAGATCATCTCGTATGCTCAGCATTTTAAGCATACAGTGAAACTCGGCGACGTCAATTACATAGGCATAAAAGTTGGCTCATCTCAGTAGTATAGCATGCTATCGGAATACAATTAGGACGCTTATTTTATACGAAATAAATAACATTTATGTAACGAGAGACAGAATTGAGCCAAGTTTCGATAAAGTTAACATAGTTAAACATTCTTAAAACGTTTTTATATTTTTGATTGCTTGTAAAGTTTGTTGGTTATAAAAAAGAAACTTGGTCAATTGATATTCAAAATTGTATCAGCTAATTTTATTAGTATGCGTACATTTTAAATCATGCCTCAAGAAATGCAGTAAAATGCGCATGGACTCTACGACGAGACTGTAGATTGAGAATTTTTAAATGGAAACAAATCGTCACAAACCACTAACGAAAATGCTACAGTAATCACATCGTAAGAGTAATTGCAGCTGGCGCGTTTATCGCAAACATACGACGTCCGTTCACATAACTCACAAAGACTCTTTGCCGATTTCCCGCGCAATTTTTCTCCGCAATGTGTGTTATCACCGTCACAGTCAAAACTATGTATTAATTAGTCTAAGATGAAAAGTATAAACCATCATATGTTTGTTGGGCAAGTGCATTATCTTTTCACTTTTTCATCAGTTGGCTTTCTTGTATTTTAGTTTGCTACAAATTTTGTGACTCATTTTAATCTGACTCCATCGAATTGAGGGCTTGAAACTTTAATCATGTCACAGAACTTGATGAGAATACGATATTTTCGATACTAATTCGTAATTATGTTCTTCAGGCTTCCGTACGATAACGCCTCTGACTAAACTAAACGCATGTTACGCATTTCTTTACTTTTTCTGGTGTGCCCCTTTGCGGGAAATTTCTCCCAATTAGATCCCAATAAAATCTAAATACTTTTCATATAATTGCGAAGACAATTCTTATGAATGACATGAAAATTCCTAGATCCATGCAGGCGAAGTGTATGAATCTATAGACTTAGAAAGTTAATCCATACTATTGTTCGACCTTGATGACGCCATTGCCAGGTTATAATAACGAAATAATTGTATTTACATTAGATGACACCATTGCCAGGTTATAATAACGAAATGATTGTATTTTCATTGATTCCTAAGAAGCATGTTGAATGCGAAATGTCTAATGTTTGGAAATGGTAAACATTGGATTTGTTTGTTGAAAAACTTGTTAAAAAGTTGAGCGTGTAATCTCCGCGCGCATTACGACTGGTGAATGTTAAACGGTGATTTCGTTTTGTTTCTCGTCTCGCGTTTCATCTGACGCGTCCCCGAACGCTCAGCTAGCACGATGATCTTTTGTTGATTGCAGACATCTTTGCTGACGTCAATGTTGTTATAGTTGTTCTTCAATTCTAACGAAATTGAATCTTCTGATTGATGAAGCTATTATAGTCCTTGTAAAGTAGACAGTAGAGTAGTAGCAGTAGAAAGTAGTTGTATAATTTGCGTTGTCAGCTAAGCCAGGCAGAGATAAATTATTAATTACCAAAAATACTTCACAAGGAAGAGAGTTAAGTTCTTTTGCTTTGTTTATGATATATATTTTTTGGACCGAATATTTACTGTGTCTTAAGGCCCATTTACACGATGCCATTTTCTTGAACATACAAGAGCAATAATTGAATGCAATAAATTGCGCGCAGTAATTGTTTAGACCATTTCTTGTTTAGACCATGCAACTCATTTATTGCTTCAATTTAATTGTATACAACAGGCAAGAAACTGGCACCGTGTAAATGGGCCTTTATTCTTTACGTCGTTGTTCTATAAATATATACTTTCTTCATTCTTAGATTTTTATTGTTATAATAATAAGTTCATATCAAGTAAAAAAAGGAATAACATATTTCTAGTACGGACTTTTGTCTTATTCATTGTCTGACTTTGAATTGCCAGGCCTAGAAACTTGCAGACCTACATCAGAATTTTGAAATCGTGAAGTGAATACAATTTAAAAATAAGAGATTTTGATATCAAACATGTTCAATTAAGAAAGGAGGCTATTCCTTCATGAAAGATTGCTCGCCTCAGGTGTAATGCCCAACGTAGACAGGCAGAACCACACAAATGCACGACTCGAAGAACATTAACATAAACCTATTAGGCGCTTCCTAAAGTTATTAAAAATTATCAGACAAGCAACAATGTTTGCTGCTAAGTAGGACAGACACGCTCACATCAAATGAGTGAAAAAAGACAATGTTGGTTTAACGAACGGCTGTAAAATCTAATACTACTACTATATTTAACTAGCACTTTTTCGCTAAGGTATCAAGTTATATAAAATATACGTACGTGAAATTTATACGGTATTTGGTCTTGTACGAGATCGCATTGGTCCAAAGTAAAATTTATACATAAGTAAATTGATCTATAAATAAAATAAATTAATACCAAACGCAGCACTAAGCCTCGATGTGAACATTATATGCAATGTATAACACGTAGATATTTAGATTTGTGTATAGTTTTTAAATAGTAATAACATATCCGTTCTAATGAATATAAGAAAAATGTGAAAAAACTCTTAAAAAAAAATCGTGCGCATGACAAATTCGTTATGCTTAATCCATTAGAATTTATGTAATTCTTCCTGTGTCATGACTTCTAGTCTAAAAAACCGGCCAAGTGCGAGTCGGACTCGTGCACGAAGGGTTCTATACCATTATCTTATTTTTTTATGTGATAAAGTGGCAAACGAGCTGGCCGTTCACCTGATGGTAAGTGATAACCGCCGCCCATGGACATTTGCAACACCTGTAGGGTTGCAAATACGTTGCCATCTTTAAATAAAATGGGTCCGGCAATCTTACTCACCAGACGAAACGCAGAAGTATAACACTTCGACTCGAGGTCGTGGTACTTACACTGTGCGTGGCCCTACCACAGTTAGAATAATAATATATTGTAATATTAATATAAATACTCATATAAAAACGGCAAAAAAATCAAGTCTTTTCTAGCCCCTTTAATATATATTTTTTTATTTAATGTGATTTTTAGTATTTGTTGTAGCTGTTAAAATTTAAAATGTCTAATAACTAGCAAGGTTCATAAGATACATCCTGGTGACAGACGAACAGACAGACAGTGGAGTCTTAGTAATAGGGTCCCGTTTTACCCTTTGGGTACGAAACCTTAAAAATTGTGGATAAAGATTCAAAGTTCACTTATATTTATGTTGAGAGTGCAGAGTAATGTGTACAAGAAAGTGGAAAACCTGTATTTCTGCTCCGTACACCCTTGGGCACTTACTGTTTGCATGTTAGTTGTGTTATACAGCAGCTACTTAAAAACGTTACACATTTACGCAGTGTAATGTCGCAGTCGATAATAGAGAGATCGTGAGTGGCGCGTTATCGAGTCGCCTCGCGGGGCTTTGTTGACATTGTTATCAACCGTGTGTAGTCGGCGGGACGGTGTGTCGCGATTCCATCGACCTTGGAGCAGACCTTAAACATCGCGGTGTTCTAAATTTGAAAAGTTTTGGCGGCCTTTCTTTTTCTTATTTACAGCGATATTTCCAGCCAGTAGTTTCAGCTTTGGAAGCTACCAAATAATCTCAAAAAAACATTGAAAATAGTAATGTACAAAGTTACAGAACTTTATCTGGTCATTGTTTATAGGACAGAGCCTATGAGGATCTATGGACTTTCAAACATTTAACGAGGCAAGATGATCAACTTTACGAAACAACTTTTAATTAGTTTCAATATAAACTTCGGATTGACCCAGATGCTTAACAAACTTCTTCGCTAACAATCGACGGGAAAGAAACGAAACTCTGCGTAGAAGAAAACGAAGTATAAATACTTGCATACTTCATTGTTTGCTAGAGTCTATAGAATTCTTTGAAATAAAAAAAAATTAAATAGCAGTGAAAAAAGGAAAAATCGAAAAAAACATCGGTTTAATCGAAATCACGGTTTTGAAAATCTCATACACCTAATATAATTGTCTAATCATATCACTGTTAAATGCTTTATTTCCATCACCGGATGGTAGAGTAATGGTAGAAAAAGCAATCATAAAAGCTGGACAAATTTAACTTAAAGACATTAGTTGTCTTACTGCATGAGGGACTCTGGGCTGATAGAGGGGAGATGTCCGATCCCCTCCTTTGAGACGATCTTAACCTCGAAGTTGGCTAGATTCATAAACAGCCGCTTGTGGATCTCGCGTACGCAGAGCTTCAACACCTCGTATACTTCTTCCTCGGTCAGAGCTGAGGAAATGCTAGGTTTTACATAGCAATCATAGTTAGCAATTGAACTAGTTGGATATCGGTAGACTGTACAGATTTCCAGCTAGTTCAAGCGCTACCAATGACTGCTTCAGTTGGTGCAAACTTTGTTAATTTGCAGAATAATTTTATTATTAATCAACAATATCTTTTTATTGCAGTAAGGGTACTGTACGATAACATTATCCTGTGTTCGTTTTGCAAACATAAATTTCACATGGACTAATTAGCTAGGTGGAAAACAACTATCTGTGGGTCCCGTGTGGGAATCGAACCCACGACCCCCGATGCTGAAGCCAATACCTTGGCAACTGCGCCACGGAGTCATCAAAACTTTTACTTAGGAAAGCTTGTGACCAATATATGTTTAACCATAAATCGATTTTATGAACTCGCTAAACATCGTGCCACGTATTTGTGTCTGTTTACAAATACCGTAATAATCAATAAACTTATAAGTCCTTAAATGAGCATTTAAGGACTTATTCACTTGATTAAATATGAGCATATTTGATAAAATGATACGGTTAGAACGTACAGAATGATGTTTCTCACTCGATTATGTAGTGTAAACATTAATATGATTCTACGTAAATACAGCAATACCTTTCCAGCCAGATTCGATAAAAACTCTATTTTACGACATCATTGAACTAGAGATCCATAGATAAGAAAATATTACGTTAAGACATGGAAGAAAGAGGTTTATAAATTAAGTTGTTAAGCTTACTGGGCTTGTAAAAGTACTGGATAATTCCCAGACCGAGGTAGCCGCCTATGCCGTGGGAAGCGTACGGCACCAGCATAGTGGAGCCAAGAAAGTCCATAGTGTACAGCTGCCCGCCGTTGTCCACATCGTACCCCGCGATCAAGACGTTCAGCATGTTCGGTGTCTGAGTAAATCATTAAGGTTGCACTCAGCATATCCACAACACAAAAAAACCAAAGTCAGTTTTATGTTGAATCTGCGTTGAAAACGTAAAAGATAGATATTAATTGAAAAAGTACATCGTTCGTCTTAAATATGTATATTGTTGATAACCTTAAAGGCGTAAATTGCAAAATCATACCAACATATGACCCGTTGTAAATAAGACAAACAAAACTGTAACAAAGCTGAGAAGCTGTACCTCTCTTGCACAAAATACGACATTTATACAAGAAGAGGAGAAAGCTAGATAAGCATTGCCGTCTTCGAGGTAATAGGTGCTTTCACGGTCGAGATTCTCCCGATTACAGTAATAATTCTGCCAGAATTGACGACACTTCTGCGAGGTATGGTGCTTATTTTTGAAAAGGAACACGGTCGAGTTTCTCGGTCACGGAGCTTTCAAAACTTTATTTTACTACTAATTATTAACTTTTCAAAGCTTTTATTAACTTAAAAAAATATATAATTATATATTTCTAAAATTCGACGTTTCATAACAACGCGCAAGCGTCTATTGGAATAAAGATATTTTGAATTTGTATTCATGATATTAGACTCACTCCACTGTTGCGCGTCTATTAAAATAAAGGTATTTTGTGTTTGTATTCATGATTCTAGACTCACTCCCCTATGCAGGGCATCCATCATCGTGCCCCTAGCGAAGTGTTCCACCGCAGCCGTGCTGAGGCCGTACCGGTTCCTCGTCTTGTAGAGCTGAACGTTCTTCGCCAGGTACTGGGCGAACTGCGTGGTTTCTCCAACGGCCCCGTTTAGACCAACCACGATACTGTCTGATAACTCGTGGAGCTTATTTCCGTCTGAAATTTGTAACTACCCTCAGATAGGATTTCGATAAACTTCTATAGCCCTTAAGCTTCTCACGTGAAACATTAAAAAAAACTGCGGTGGTAGGGCTACGCAGCAGCCTCGGCTGTTGCACGAATGGGCAGGCTCGTCCGGGTAAGTATCATGACCTCACAAAATACTGACGTAAAGTGGAAGTATAATACTTTCGCGTTTCGTCTGGCAAGTGAGGTGGCCGGAGCCCAATTTTCAAAATGTTGTCAGCGCATCTGCAACCCTCGGGTGTAGCATCGGCTCGCTTGCCAACTTTTCACATTAAAAAAAAACTGGGACAGTGACTATTAGATGAATAGTATGTTTATTATTACCCTATTTTTTAAATTTATATCTACTACTATTTTAACATTTAAAGTGAGCTTGTCGTTAATCTAGTGGTGCCTTAGAAACAGTAATTACGGTAGCTATTATCCTAAACAATGTTGATCCAGGGGCGGTCTAACGTCGGTTACTGCCTCGGTGGGTTATTTGCATAACCCGTTTGATTATGTTCTTATTATATCCATAAGTTTTCTACTTTTTCAGTAGCTAATCTGTAGGGCTCTTAAGGTAAAAAGGTAAAAGGCGAATGGTGTCGTGGGACACCCGGTTGGAAAAAAGTTTCTTTGTCTATATAATAGTTTTGAATAAAAAGCCCAATTAAACAGATTAAGTGTTTAATGATATTAAGTGTTTAGGGTAACTAAATGAAAAAGAAAAAATACAGGAATTGTAATAAAATTTCAATTAATTAAAATACGCCTTACTTAGAAACAGACGGATAGACAAGTTGCATTAGAGATCATTTCTACCTATTATCCCTTTATTCCAAATCTTCATTTTCATAAGACATATTACACAGATTTCTAAAACGACTGTTTCTACTGAAAAACATCGAAATAATAATTTCTCCCTTTACGATGTTAAAACTAAAGATGTTGAGGTGGAATTACGCAATTTATAAATATATAATAAATCTGTGATTATATTTTAATAAAATTCGTAAAATAGTTTTATTTACACTGAATATGTCGTTTATCGTTATTAAAGCACGGAAAACGCAGAAGTAGCACAAACATACTCGCCGAATAAATATTTCTACTGTCAACTGCGCTAGAAGCGTGCTTAAGAGCAATGATGACGCAAAGACCTTGTGAGAGATCTCTCGACGTTACTGATAATGATTATTAACAAGCTATTTTAAGAATAGCTTAATAGTAGAACGTCCTCACGTTCTAGTGAATTACAGTTTTATTTGCAGTCCATATTTCGAATGTACTTGACGCGTGTGAAACAGTCTTTGAACAACGAGTACGTATTGCGAAAGGGTTTATGGCGCACCCTTGAAATAAACATTTGCGACCTGAAAGCGGTGTAAAAATCTGTATCATTCATTCTTTCCATTGCTTCTTTTAGATTGCCCTTGGGAAATATCATGTTCATAAAAGCGAATAGTCTTGCCATTTTCGCGAAACTTCTTACGATAATGTACTACACCGTTTGAAAGTAGTTTTTAATAACTTTACATAGTTTGATTACTTCTAAGTTTGTATTTAGTACAAATTTTACTATTTGGTGATTCTTTCCATTATCGAATTGTAAGTTTTTCAACAAGAAATAATTTAATTGATAGAGAAATCTGTCCGCCGAAATCATTACAAAGTGGGAATTTTCGAGAACGTTTTCGTGAACATTAATTAAAACTAGAGATTTACTCTTACAACATCCACAGACAGACACAGGTCTCTTCTAATGTTGCTGGGAGTAGAGTGTACGATTCCCAGATTGGACAAACTACGGTGGTATCTATGTGACCCATAGATATTTGTTCTGGCGCAGAGTGTTCATTCCCAAGAAGAATTGATGTCAGGCAGGTGGCAGTTGTAAGAAACTTAGGAAATACCAACATGATTGACATGTTTGCTGACCCTACATAGGTGGGATAAGGTCAAAAGAAAGAAGAATATTTATTGTATTTTGTAGTTGTTTAGTAGTTTGTAGTTGTTTAGTAGTAGTAGTATACGATTGTAGAAAAGTTCAAATGTTTGTTCTCAATAATAGAAAATGTCGATAGTCATGCATGCTGTACGATTGTTCTCTAAAAACGTATGTTACCTCTTAAAATATTTGCATAAAATGGATGTCTTATGCGAAATAATGGCGGATTTCCTTAGTGTATACTTTCAAGAATTTTTTTTTTCACTCAATCTGACCGTTCCTTTCGATTTTCATTTGTTGATACAATGGTGATATTTGAATCGATAGAGAATAACTAGTAGTAGTAACTCTATTAATCGAATTTCTATTGCCGTTAGCTTTTACCCGAGCAATGCTGACCGGCTAGGGACCCAATGGATCTAGAGATCACGAATTTTAATCAATATATGTATGCCAAAATATATCAAAATTATATGAAAATGTATTAAGACATAATCGGAATAAAATATAAAATTTATTAAGTTCTCCGGTTTTAAATCGTATTTCAGATTATTTTCGCATTTCATAAATTCAATATTTTATATAATATTCAATATTTTTCTTCGTCAGTCAAAATTAGACTATATGCCTCTGCCTCCTCTGTTAGGCAAAGTTACTTGATATCTTTTGCACGATCAAACTTCGTGCAAATAGAAATTTTAGTCCTTCTGCCGCTATCTAACTTAAAGAGTAATTAATAATAAAAAAGTAAAAAAAATACATAATACAATACAAAAGAAACAAAAACTTTAATAAAGAAATAGAAGTATCACTCGGTATAACCGCGTCCTCTACTTCAGTTCCTTACCGTTTTTTAATAGAATAACACTTTGCGTCAAAGTCTGATCGGCAGCAATCATGACAAAGCTTTCGCATTGAACACCAAACAGACATTGAAAGTGCAGATCAGCTGACATTTAATCTTTCGTTAAACTCCAGACACAATGAAATAATTTTAATTACTACTGTAGCTTGCAATCGTATCTCAAATCTTTGACTAATTTATTCTGCAATGATGTTGTACTTTAAATAATAATATGAATCAAATTAAGTTTAAACAAAAAGAAACGAAAAGAAAAATATGAAAATTCTAAAACATGAACTGACAGATATTATTACCATTGACATTTCTATTTATTGTGTTTTTTTTTGAAAAATATTATTAATAAACACAGATAATGTATGAAATGAAAATTTGCCAAAGCGAATATGTATTTAGATATTGATTTCCAAGCTATAGCAATGCTAGTCTTTGGTGACGTCACCTACAGACCTATACAGCTAGGTACGTTCTGCCGCATTTGCCGTAGATTGCGATAGGTTCTCGACTTCCCTGACGATGAGACGACTATCGCCATCGACAGGGTCAAACAGTTACGAAAACACACAATAACACACCGCATTTGCCGGTGAGTGCGGCAAACATATACCAGGTTCCGCCACGTACCTGGCAGGTTTTCCCCAGTCAATGATACACGCGTTGCTGGAGTTTCTTCGGTCACTTCTTCTCCCAGCACCAACGCTTTACGAAGTGGTAGTAATAATAGATCTAGAAATTCTTCGAGTCAGATAATAGCTGCCGATCGAACCGAGGTCCAACCGTCTTGGGCATCCTCGAATCGAAATGCTAAACGGGTATTAAGTGACAGCCCAAGCCGAGGCCCCTGTGGCGACTCAATAACTGTGATGTCTATAATGTAGCACCGCTCTTATCTTGTACACCCTTACTCACTTCTGGTCTAGCATTACCCTAATGTTGATAAATTACTATAGCAACGAGTGACAATAAAAAGATTATGGTTTTCTCAACTCGGTTTTTTCTTTGTACTTCATCTTAAATATTCCCTCCTGCTGGCTCCCAAACTGGTGACCCCGACGTGATTGCATGCAGTGCACCCAAACCTCCTTTCGGGGGCCCTTGAGGAATAAATGTTTCATATAAATATTAAAGAAATTAATTATTATCTATGTATGAAACTAAGTGACGACCATAATTTCGTTTTCTGCGTAGACTAAAAATGGTTTTTTTGTTAGCCTGAATAATGTGCAATATAGCAGTCAAAATAACATAAATGAAAAAAATGAAAATATTGAAAATATTATTTATTAATATATATAGGTTTACAATTGATACAATACTAACCCCCACACTAGGCGCAGCCTGTCCTATGGGGGAAGTTAATGATTTCCACAATTTAGTGTCAGCACACGAACGGTAAACACAATTTGAACCACTTAGAATAACAAAAAAGAGAAATTAAAAAAAAATTAAACGAAAATCTAGAAACGGTTAAACATAACTATAAAAAACAAAGGTGTGATAATAATGACAATAATATTAATGATGCATAGTTATAAACGAACGGTGTTGCAAATATCCATGGGCGGCGGTTATCACTTAACATAACATAGGTGGGATAAGGTCTTTCAAGAAGAGAGCCTATTCCTTCCTCAAAGGCTGGCAACGCATTTTTAACTCTTCTGGTGTTGCGAGTCTCCATGGGCGATGAACATTTACCACCAGGTGGCAAGCCTTTTCACATAAAAAAGATATTAGGCGGAGGTTTAAGTTAATAATAAGCCATATATTAAATTTATCTTTGTGGTCACACTCGCCATAATTTTATCACATTTTACGTCTAAAACCACAACAATATCGCATTTATTCAAACTAAGGTTATAGTTTCTACAAATACGTCCCAATAAAACTAAATAATAACAAATGTCTATACTACAATTATGAACCATGTTGGATTTAAAATTCAAAATGGCGATGTTGTCTATGACACGATCTTGTCTACGTTGCCTAGTTAAATTTTACTAAACTATGCCATTATCTTTACGACAGCGTTTCGCCGTGGGATGGTTGTTGACAAAGTATTAGCGTACATCATTTTAATCGCCTCGTACGAGAATAAAGAGGCCGCTAATTTACGGTTACTAGATAATGAAAATTATGGTGTTAAACCATAGCTTATTGTGCATGCAATTTTTGTTTTCA